TGTGAGGGCACTTGACATATGAAGAGACACTGCAATGTGTTTAAAGACATTTGTTCTCAGCTCCATGTTCAACAAGTTAGAGTCTGCATAAGTTAAATTTCATGTTATCTGTAATACTACTATTACACCGCCAGAGGCTCGCTGCCTTGGATCTACCCTACAAAGAACGCAAACCTGTGAAGCATTTTGGTTAACTGTAATAGCATGTTTCTCAGGCTGCGTGATGACCTGTTGGTTACAGAAGGCTTTTTGTGACACAAAGGTCATGAGCACAATCCCGGCAGCAACTCTATACTCCTACCATCCCGAAAGTGCAACTATCACATAATGTGTAGAATATATGCATACACATAATAAAAAGGGGGCTGCATAAGAGAATAGCACCTCTGCATTGCCAAAAAAGACAAAATGTGTTCTCTTCTCTTTGTCCAAATGAAACTCTATGTCGAACACAGACACCTTCTCTACTCCCAGGAAGTAACACATCAAAACTGAAGTGCAAAATACATGTCTCCAAGACAGCAGGCAGTGAGTGCTCTGCCCGTACAACAGTGAAGCTTGTTTCACAAAGCTAGACTGGTGACTCAGCAGTATAACTCTGGACAAGCTTGGTCACACCAGAAGAAAATGAATGAGCATACTTTCCCAACTAATTCAGTGTATTTAAAATGAATTGTGGCAATCAGAGGATTTGCTTATAGCAGTCAAGTAAAACCATGCTGAGCTCATGCATCTACTGTAACAGTGATGAACTCCGATACACAAATTCACACTGTCAAGGGGGCAGTCATATTGTTGAGTCCAGAATAGAGAAAGCTATTCTTTTACCAAATTCTAGACATTAGCTCTGTGACTCTCTTTTACCTTTTAGACCACTCACTTTGAAAGTTTTGTACTACAATTCTGCACTTTACTTTTCTTTTAACTACTGCGTCATAATCAACTTTTCCCCAAATGTTTCATCTTCTTTGCTGGATGTGTCCACGGTGCAGCCTCTGTAACGGACTACTTAAAAAAAAAAAACACTCTTACATAAGCGTACTAATAGCTGGTTTGGAAAGTCGTAGGTTGACAGAGCCAGTTGATAACAACCCTTGTGAAACAAGTAAGATTTCCATTGTTTGGTTTTTACAGAACTTGCAGTTTTGGAGAACCCGTGTCATGTGACAAACACCAAGACTCAACAGTACATATTTTGCCATGTATGTCCATTTGGATTAAGTCATCACCATCAGACAAGGTTGGTTTGAGCGAACACACCATGTGCCTTTTACCAATGACATGCCATGTGATGACATGATGAAACGTCAGTCTTTTGAACAATTACACTCACTGACATTTATACACAACAGCATGCTAAGCTATTAAGTTCAACTTTAAAACATACTCTGTCATATGCTCACCAGAAAATGCTAAATTACAGGCACATACTGTCTATAGCACTGTATGGCTGAGAGACAATATAGAAGTGTGTAATCTAGTGCTTTGATGATAATTATGACCAAAAAATGTGTCCAGCTAACCCTGGACTCAGGCAGATGGTCATGTTTTGTTCTATCTTCTCGCACTTCATTGGTTAGCCCTGATGTGCTTGCACCATACGCACCAGTATATGTCCTGAAATCAAACCAGTTGTTGATGTTTCTCCATAGGAATACCATTAAATGAAATACCTAAAATTAACAACACTCTGTACTGATTCTGACAGAATAAGAGAGCCCAAAATGTTTCTGTTGGGTTCAAACATGACAAGACAATTGAAAACAAGAACATGACACTTCTCACATTTGGGAGCCAGAAGGAAAATATTTCAAGTGTTCCTGTTGCATTGAACAGAAAAAGGGTACTGAACAAAGCATATAATCTCTGACTCGTTGCCCTACCAGAGCACTATAATTATGTCTATAAAACTCATTCTATATATAAACAACAATAGGCAGCTAAAGTGGGTGTTATGTCAGGGTGCTCTGGTGACTCAGTGTGCAGAGCACACCCCATGTGCTTGCAGTACTGAGTTTGACTCCAGCACTTCATGTAAGGCTTGAAACTGGTACAACAGACCAGCGGCAACCAGCTAAACCACTTACTCATACATTGGCTGTGACTGATGCATCCTAATTATGCTTGGTACACTGGCACACAGCCCACCTGTGGCTGTTCAGAAAAAAGTTTTCTTGTCTAAACTTAACTACAACAGAGGTGACACTATCCAACCACTGGATGATGTTGCCAGGTGAGAGCAAGTTTAGCTCATAGCACCATTTCCATGAACATCATAAATCTGACTTTCAGCAAGTTTGCTTGCACAAAAATAACTTGTTTACTTTGAAGAACCAAATTAATCAAATAATTCACATTAAAGCACGGGCCTGGCCCAAAACTGCAGTTTAAATGGCCTGGTTGAAAGTCAAGTTATTGCCTAACAGGATTTCATTGTAGGAACAAATTACAGTATTTCAGCCCAATACAACTTCCTTGAAAGGAAGCCGAACAGATATCAAAGAAACAATGAAGGTATAGCAGTCAGTGGTGTCCTGTAAGATTTAAAAGGAAGGTTCTGATTAAAAGTCTTTTTTTTAGCAGCCACAGATGATTGATGGATGTTTTGTTGGGGAAAACTGATACAGGATCACTCTTTTTTTTGCCTCTGCAAGAGGTTTTCACATCACACTGCTTTCTCTGCAGGTCCTCCCACTATACAAGAGCAGATGACTGAGGTTGTAGTAGGCAGTTTGACAGAGCATGGCTATGTGTACAGTTGTTAAGTGAGAGGTACAGTAAAGAACCTACATTATCAGGATAGGACAGACCAAGTCCTCAGCACACAACTAGAAACATACATAGAGGCAGTTTTTATTTATCTAATTCAAAAGAGAATGGCCTGTCAAATTGTGCAGCTTTTATTCAAAAGTGTGCCCAATAGCTGATAAAGCTACAGTTTTAAAGCCAGGACAAAATGTTATGAAATGAGCCAAGAAAGAATGTTGCAAGCTCCAGCAAGCAGCTTGCAACAAGTACAAAATAAGGAGAAGGGTGTGTGTGTTTGCAACTGCAACCATAAGAAGAAAATATTAACAGCTCTGGTGCTGATCTGCCTCTTTTCTAAATAATATGAGTGCCAAAAATGGAAACATTTCACTTCCCTGAAACACAACGCATGTTTATGCGACTGAAACCAATCAGCATCATCAACAGTTAAACTATAACTGTGGCCCCCTATAGTGGCTTTACTAATGGTTACAATAACTTAAACATACACTGTTGCAAATACAGATTAAAAATGTTTATGTATCCTCCACTCAGCACAACATTTCCTAACTAATCAAAGTTGTTAACATAATTTTCCCACATAATGACACAAATATTATTACAGCCATTCCCGGTTTGGCTATTTCAAGTAATTCACAAGCCTGGGAGAAACCCTATTTAGACTCTGCAGTTGCAACACAATGTGGGTCAGTGGTCATTATAAGTCAAACTAAATATGTTATCAAATATGTGAACCTTTCCACATGTAAAAATGTATTATGATATACTACAGTCTATACCAGTGGTGGAAAGTAACTACACACACACACACACTCACTCACACACTGACTGGCCACTTCAATAGATACACCTGTACAACTATATTCAATTCAATGCCGAACATCAACCTTAACATCTCTGTTTATGAAGCTTAAAATGTTTCAGTTTTTGGTGAAGCTGTCATAAATGTATAAATTCAATTGTAAGTTTACTATTGAGGTCATAGTTAAAGGTGGTTTTATACTAGACTACATTATATTCAGATGTAATATTCTGACCCTGTCATGTATGTAGCTGGGAAGGACAAAAATATAGAGACACCTCTGAATATAGTTTAGTACAACACCAGCTTTAACTATGACCTCAACAATAAACATATAATTGAATTTACATATTTATGACTATTTCAGCAAAACCGGAAATATCTTGAGCTTCCTATACACAGATGTTAAGGCTGAAGTGTTTCACTGAATTGCGTACAACTGTACAGGTGTGCCTGTTAAAGTGGCAGGTGAATGTATATTCACTCAAATACTGTACTTAAGTGCAATTTTGAGGTATCTGTACTTCGAGTATTTTCATTTTCTGCTACTTCATACTTCAATCTCACTACACATTACACACAAATAGTAGTTTTTACTCCATTACATTTATTTGAGACGTTATTGTTACTTTTCTGAATCAATTCAGTAAAGCAAAGCACAGTATAACAATAAGACCATGTTGATACACAGCAGTAAATCAAATTATAAGGTGGTTAATATTAGCTACACCTTCGCCAGCTGCAACATAAATGTGATGTATTACATCAATAATTACAATCCAATACATCAATGTGAAAGTGCCATTCTACATAATGACTACTTTTACTTTTGGCATTTTAAGTATCTTTTGATGCCAATACTTTGCACTTTTCATTAAATAGCTAACATTTTGAATGTAGGACCGCTACTTGTTACTTATTTTTACACTGTATTGCTACTTTTAGACTACTTAAGTAGAGGATATGATTATCTCTTCCGCCCACTGATCTGACATTAGCGTTACTTCCAAAGAGGACAATCAGTCATTGCACTGTATCCTAACAATAAGCCATGTTTTACAGACAACACAACACCACCTCATCCCAGCATTTCACCTTTAAGCTATTCCAGTAACACCTTGTAAAAATGAGCCAAGGACTAGAACGTGGCATGTTTTGTTTTATTGTTTCTTTTTTAAATTAAAGAAACAGGTGCCGGTGGTGTTTCTGTGCTTTGGGAAACAATGCTAGGCCGCCATGTAAAGCCTAGAAACGGGAGCAAAAGGAAGGGGGCGGTGTGGCCGCCCCTGCTTCACCTCCTGGGGGATACAGGGAACCAGGAGACGGGGAGGGAGGTGGCACATGGACAAAAATTTGGAAATTATTACGGGAGAGAGTTCAGGTTGGGATAGATATGAGGTAAATAAGGATGCTGGTTATTTTGACTCACCATAAAGTCGCTACAGAAGTTGTCCTCTCCCCTCTCGCTCATGTCCTTCACCCCCTCGATAAACTTTCTCAGGATGCCGGCTTGGTCCATCCTTCAGTCCTCTTATAACGTTGCCCTTTCCTTTAAAATACAACTCCCCCCCACCCCCCAAAGTGGCAGGGGAGGAGAAAACGTAAAAATAAAACAAAAAAAAAATGACACAAGGGAAAAGGGAGAGGGGGAATAAATACAAATAAATTAGCTTCACGGATCCTTCCAGAGAGTCATCGTCGGTTCACAACACAACACCTTTTTTTATTATCGCCCCATGTTGTTCCTCCTTTTCCTTCTTTCTTCTGGGCTGTTTTCACAACGATAACGTTACCGGTTACTCCAAAAGAAAAGCAGCAGCGACCGGGATTTTTTTGCACTACAGACAAGTTTACGGCCGTGGTGTAATATAAACTGTATACAACAGCTTCCTTGAATGAAGAAAAATAAAGAAAAAAGACAAAAACCCTGTTCTGGTCAACCTATCCACCCCTCCCCGTCTACCTCGGTTGCCACATTCACACTGCTGCTCTTTACTCGCTACTGAGGAACATCCGGACTGGGCAAAGCCAAAGAGGAAACGTCCCGCCTCTTCCAGGACACTGGTACCTATGATTGGATAAGTGACACCAGGAATTAAAATTTCACTGGCTAAAGTTGCTTTAGTGCTACCAAATAACAAAATCTCATTGGATAGAATATGTGCCTGTCGTTTTGACGCGGCTTCATTATTGTTACAGTAATAAATAAATAAACCTACGATTTAAGTGTAATACTTTGACATATACTGATTCTAATGTCTTTTATTATTTTATAATATGGTACTGTACGTGAACACATTTTTTTCCTTCCAGAGATGTTTAGCCTATCTTAAAGTTTGTGAGCTGAGTTTAATATTGCTTGGAGTCTTCATACTGTGTGTTGTGTGGGTACAGTATGTATATATTCTATTCTATATTGATTATAACTTTTATTAAATTATAGACGTCTTGTACACAGTTGTACACAAATTTAACAGTTGCATTATTCCATTATGTTTTTATTTTCCTGTCCTTTGTAGCTATACAACAAATAAGAAATATTGTGTTACATACTATTAGAAATATTAAGCAACTGTTATCTTTCTGTCATAAGAAAGAAGAGGTTCATCTTACCATTTGTCTAAAATGAAAGTAAATAGCTCTGATAATCCTGCCATACTGTCATTACTGGATTTTAATCTAGCTCACACACACATGTTCATGCACACACAGCTAGCTAGCTAGATAGATTGATTGATTATGTGAAGCCCACAGTGAAGAAGCAAACAGCCAACAGATTGAGTTACATATATACTCTGGATTACAATATTGCCAAAAATAGAAACAACCAAATGCATCATGTGATATCTCCACTAATGGTCACATGGGCAGGTGTGTAATTCTGAATTTAAAGAAACAAGGATTTTTGTTGCTAATTTTGAGCATTTATTTCATTTAAAGTTAATGTAACTAACAGAATGAACAGAAATAAAGGCTGACCATAATGAAAAGACAAATAGAGAATGGTAAATGGGTAATCTGGATAGAGTCATCAAGGCATAGTTAATTCATTAGACACTTATGCATGATTAACTATCTTCCAATAAGCACACACATGGAGAGAAAGGGAATCAAGTTCCTGTTCATTCAGTTTGACCAGTGACAACAAACAAACTTGCCTATTCAGGCTGAGTAACAGGGAGAAGGAGAGGGGATACTGTTACTGAGCCAACAATCTTTTTACACAACACACTGCTTTTTTGTTGTCTTTTTTATTTGCTTGTTATCCACCTAAATAGTTTTTGTTTTCTTTGCCTTCATCTCATTATCATACTGCTATGTCTTCAATTACCAGACAGATGGGACACATGTCCAGTAAAATAATCTCTAGGTCTTCCTCTATCACTTTAATTTTATTTCTCCTTTCCACTCTACAGTGACCTGAAAGAAAGCAACAACTGACAAAGACAAACAGGGAGAAAAAGCACAAGTATATTAAAAACTCCAAGGTGACATGTTTAAACTTCTTATCTTGTCCAACAAACAGTGCAAAAGTCAAAGTTATTCAGTTGATCATCACATAAACAAACAAAGCAAAGCGGCAACTCTGCGCATGGCGCATGTATTTTTACTTGTCTCTACATATTCTAAACCCAGCACTAAAAATTACCAGTCAACAATGTGTTGCAAGGATGGAAGACAACTTGGAAAAAAGTCAGTGCTTGCAAACATAGAGTCTTGCTGTAGTTGTACTGAAAAAAAAAAATCTGACCTATCTCTAACATCTGTCTTTTCATGTTTCTTTTTCATCTTTTGTGAAGCAGATTGTGTTGCATCTTTTTATAAGAAGAATGCAACATAAACAAGTTCAGTATTATGAAGAGCTCTGTCTTTAAGTTATTTGTGTTTTTCTGCTGTCTATACAAAGAAGCGTAACTGTATGACTGAATCATTACATTGTGTGTCTGTGTTTATGCTGACATTTGTTCTGTCCTTTCACAGCAAGTCAAGCAGACTGAAGAGATGAACACAACACAGTCCTCTACTGTACTGTGTGTAGCCATTTCCACTCATGTACTCCAGACTATGTCCACAAAATCAGGCCCAGACTTTGTCCAGAATTGCCCTTTCACACATGTAGCACACAAAATGAAATACTCTGTGTCAAATGCATTTTCACCTGCTGGAAATATTCTGTTTGGTTTATGCGCAGGGGGCGTGCCTGGATAGAGCACACAGGAGGTAGGACATGATGCAATCACAGAGCCAATTTGTAATTTGTAATTAACAGCTGAGTCTCTTGCCATTCCTTAAATTTGTATGTCAAGTTTTGCACTAGGTCTTAAGGACAGATGTTCCTGAATCTCCTTGTGTCTCCAGTTTGATATTTTCGTTGGTGTCTTCATTGTAAATAACCGTTTTTCTTCACCATCAGATTTTTGTGTTCTTCCGGCCTGTCACATGATAACATGTCATCAACACTCCCACTAGCTCTGTGTGAATACTCTGAACTATACACTGCTGTTTTCTCACATGGCCTCACTCCAGCTCCCTCAGACCTTAAGCGGACTTTGTGCTGGGAGGGTAAAGTACACTTAAAGTCTGGGTCGAATGACTCTCATATACAGCTCCGCCAGCTAAAGTCTAGAGAATTTCAGGGTGCCAGTAAATGCCTGAAAGGGGCTCTTCTGTGTATGTGTGTGTTATGGTTTTATGGGTAATAATATTTTAAGACAGACCTTGTGGCCTCCTCTCTGTCACTTCCTTTTCTCAGCACTGGTTCTGGTTGCTCTGTATCTGACCCTGACCTCTAACCTCTCTGTGAAGAAGAGGGAATGTCAGCTGAACATGAATAACACAGCAGGGATCCATTACATATTCCCTTTCCAACACATCATTTTTTATTCATACTTTTCACTCTCTCACTTTCCCCCTCTCCGTCTCTTCACCTTTTACTCGCTTTCTTTTCTCTTCCTGGAATGTGCTGTTCAGAAGCAGCTGAGTGGAGGAATGTTGCTATAACAAGCCTGTACACAACCACTAGGCAGGGAGGCTCCCTGCACACACACAGACGTATACGCACTATCTTTCTCTTTGTGACGTTTGTTCTCTGATTTTCTTACACACTGGCAACAATAAACTCCTTCCTTCTACTCTCTCATGCTCTGTCTTTCATATGTGATGGCAGAGCATAAAGCTGCATGTCTGAGAATATGGAAGGATGAGTATACTGCATCTGGTCTGGACACGCAGACACACACAAAGAACGTGAGCCTGCTTGTTGCAGTAATGAGGTAGGGTGAAAATGTCTGCCCTCAGGAAAGAAATAACTCCGTGGCCTGTTGCACAACCCTGGCATGTCCACCTCTGTTATGTACAGTACTTCAAAAATCTGTGATATACTGTACACAGGCGTACAAATGAAAGGAAAACTGAATAAATGAGTGGGGAAACAAGACAAATTCAAACCTTTCCACCCAACAAAATCCCATCATGTTCATAATATGTGATTCCTCCCAGGATGACAGTGTTACGGAGGTGTCACTGATTGGTATAAAAGTATGAAAACCCAATGCTATGGCCTTCATAATCACAAGATTACAACCCATGTGAACACCTAGGAGAGATGGTGGACATTTGTGTTAGACAGCACCACCTCATGAAAGCACTTTGTGTTGGTTTTTCCTAAAATTTGTCACCCATCTGTATCTGGAACAGGCTGTAACAGTATAAAAACTTTATAGAAAACTGGGAAATGTTTCAGTCTGGAGGCCTAGATAGTTTAACTATAGAATAAAAAATAAAGTACTGCCAGTGATGGAAGAAGTAATAAATGTAACAAAGCAAAATGTATCACACTTCCCTTTGAAATGTAGTGAAGTGCATTGTATGATAAAGTGGAAATACTCAAGCAAAGCACAAACAAGTCAATATGGAACATTAGGACAGCCTTTGTGTACCAAATGTACTTTCAGTATCACCAAGTGGAGACCCAACTGTATGAGCATCACGAGACTTTTTATTTTTACTCTGGGGACTGTGGGTTTGGGGCTCATGCGACAGATACCACAAAATTATTTTTCTCCTAAATTTATTCTGAGGTCAAAATTTTTTACTAAATTTGTAAAAAGCAAAAAAGTGTATATACATTGTTCATGGGAGCAGTGGTTAGTGCTGTCATCTCACAGCAAGAAGGTTCTGCGTTCGAGCCCGGGCCGATTTGGGGCCTTTCTGTGTGGAGTTTGCATGTTGTCCCTGTACCTGCATGGGTTCTCTCTGGGTACTACAACTTCCTCCACAGTCCAAAGACTGGCGACTCTAAATTGCCCTTAGGAGTGAGTGTGAGTGTGGTTGTTTGTCTACATGTCAGCATGTCTAGGGTGTACCCTCGCCCAATGTCAGCTGTGATAGGCTCCAGCTCCCATGACCCTGTCCAGGAATACGTTGTATAGATAATGGATGGGTGTATGGATACAGTTCATGTTTTACATACAGCCCCTCATTTTATAATGTCAGAGAAATAAAATAAAAAATTTTGCATAACTGGATTTACATGGCATAATTTACAGAACTGATCAATTCCTGCCTTATTTTCTATGTAAATGTAGAAGCAGTTTGTGAGTGTGTGTGGGGTGGGTGATGTGGCATTGCCTGGCCCTGTATTATGTGTGTGTATGAATGCAGTAACACCCTCAATATAACCCTTCGCTCATCAAATTCCTGCCAGCCTGTCCCTGTCTTCACCAATGTCTCACACATACACACACAGGCAGACAGCCAGACCTCAGTGGTTGGATGCTCTGTCAGATTTAGACATGTAATTACTGTCCTAACCTTTGAGAGATGTGTATATGTGTTTGTCTCTGTGTAACCCAGTCTATAGCAACATTTATGTATATATTGCATATGTGTTTTGTATGGAGCATGCTTTTGTCAGTGACAGATTCCTTACTTGCACATTGACACATTTTCATAAATGGACAACAATACCATGTGTCCTGTCCAAAGAGACAGTAAACAATTTTCACTGAGACAAGACAACAAATATACTGCAACTTCAACATGCATATACAATAGCTCAGGCT